CCGCTACAAAATGATCAGGCTTCTGATTCTGTATGGAGCAGATCTAACTATAAAGAACTGCGTAAGTAATAGCAAAAAAGTGCAGTAATTCAAACCACTTTAGAGTAAGTTTCCCTTCAGAGCACTTTCATAGGTTTCAAGGCCAGCAGATACTATTGTGAACAGACTTAATTAGATCACTTCAGAGTTAATTAAAGCAGAGCCGACATAGGGCAAGTATAACTTTGGGGAGGTCAGGGAGAAGAGGGAAAACCAGTACCTCTTCTAAAACCAGAACTTATCAGCTGCAACTTAACATCACATCTTTCTATGATTTAATTACACATATCATATATTTGAAAGATACAACATACAGACACAATGTCTTCATAACTCCTGGGCTTCAACCACCACAAAGACAACAAAGATCTTAGCTTGTCAGAGAAATCTCCTTTCTGTTAAGCCCACAGCCAATGGCAAGCCCAAGCACTACATCTGGATGACTGGCTGTTAACCTGACTGTTGGGCAACAAATCCCCATGGCTCAGCAGAGCTTCAGTTTAAGAAGCCCCACACCTGACTTCGCTCATAGCCACTGCAGCAGCAGCAGATGCATTGCTGGAGCTCTATGACTGCTTGTTGAAATACAGCACATCACAGACCCTTCCCCCCAACACCAAAGCCAGCAGCAATGGGATGGACACTGGGTTCTACCAAGGCCAGACCATGTCTTTGGTTGGCAATCTAGCAAAACTTAAGAGGGCAAGGATGAAACCAGTCACTGCAGCACTTTACACTCCCTACTGTCTGCCCACACTCTCCAGAGGCAAGGCCACTTCGGGGATACATAAACAATGAAAGGTAAAGCCCCAAAGGCCAAAGACTTGCTCTCTCAGGCTTTGTCCGCACAAAAAAAGTTGCTCCTGTTTAATTTAGATGTGGTTCATAACCTAATTAAACCAGTACAAACTCTTACCTGAATTCTCAATTAAACAGAAGAGTGACTTATTGAGGTTTCACCTAAAAGTATCTCTAATCAGCTTAAACTAGATCAAAAGAAACACCTGCACGCTCTGCTAGTCACAGTATTTGCTAATATGGCTTAGACCCACTGAAACCCAGGGAGATTTTATCATGAGTCTGACCAGGACTGGGACTAGATCTGTAGAGCAAAAGGACCCTGATCTCAGGGAGCCAAGAGTAAGTCTGACCCTGTGCATGCAGAAGGGTCTCACATCAGGCAGATGCACTGTACAAATATTTAGGGAAGAACAAAGGACTCTGTAATCACTGACTGGAATGAAATATTGCTTCCTCTGCTTTTTTTTTAACCAGCAAGGGAAAACCCCTATGGATCTTGTTCTCCAGTGGCAGAACGGCACCAAAGAGATATTCAATAGCCTGAAAGACAATTCCTATAAAAGCGTCCATCTAGGCAAGTTCTGAAGAGAGAACCCAGACCGCTCTCCTTTTGCTGCTTTTAAATGCTTCATATGAACCTGGAGGAAAATAGCCCTGAACATAGCATTTTTACTGAAAATATTTATGGTACTGGATTATTTGAGATACCTTCACTGAAAACTGCAAAACAAACATGTAAAGAAATTATTTTAAAAGGCAGGTTGAGTGTTAAAATTCCACTGGCTCTAAAATGGTTTTATTTATTACTATTTATTATTTATTTATTTAAAAAGTAATTTTTAATTATTCTCAATATTTTAGCTTTTTTTATAGAGCTTTACATCCTAATGCAATCTTTGCCAGCAACATAAATCCTTTTGTCTTAGATGGCAGTATTTCTAACTGCACTAGCAACTTCCCTCAAACCTTCCAATAGCTCTAAATAGTGAAAACTTGCAACTGCTGCCTTGTCTCTGCCAAATTCTCACTATTAAAATAATTTGTTAAATGAGTGGCGATATGTGGAAGAGCAGTGGAAGAAAGTGTACTGAAGTGCCAAGTGGACTTATAGAAGCAGTTGAGTAATAGGGTTTACACAGGGCTTGGCAATGGTGGTTGACAAGGAGCTTGAGGACAGAGTTCCAAATATCATGTAAGCGTTTGGGCTGTGGGATTCAGATGCCATGTTATGAAGGTGAGAGGAGACAGTATCAGGAATGTGAATTTTGTTTTAGCTAGACTACTGGGAAGCCTGATGACTGAAGAATGCAAAACCAGATTATGTATATTTGTAAATTTGTACTGCTTTTTCTGTACATTTTGTACTGATCTATTCCAGATTAAATAAACAGAGTGGTTCTTTTTATTTGCTGGAGTGAATTATGGAGTGGTGAGGATGCACAGGGTAATTCTGTCTTTCTTTAAAGAAAGTTCATATCTTGGCGCCTCTAAAATTCTTAAAAACTAAAAAAAAAAGTCTCCACTGCCTAGGGCAGACAGCCCTTGAACCACCTTCCTGCCCCGCTAGGTAAATGCCATCTCTTACTAGTTAAATGGAAACACATGTACAAAAGCAGACAGACAGTACTTGAGTAGCTGGTAAAATAGTTACAGTTCTATTACTGAGTTTGATTTAAAAATCTCAGTTTCTCAGTACTTACTACACAGAGCACATGAGACAGTTTCCCAAGCCAAGGGAGATGCCAAGTCCTTCTAGGGAAGGCAGGCACCTCTCCCTTTGCTTTAGCAGAAGCTGAACAATCTTAAGTGCTGCTAGCAGGGGCAGTGATGTCCAGTTTCACTGGGACATTATACGCTGCATTCAGTTAAAATCCTAATGCCCCACAGCATGACCCTCCAGTGGAATACATCACAGGCTCCCACACACCTTCACCAACCCGTGTCAGATGGCTTCTAGCCAGCAGGCTTTACAGTCTGACCAAAGCAATGTCCTGGGCATTGAGGTGGGGTCAGGAGGGGGCAGCAATGAATACTTTTTACTGGAGTGCCAATTTTGGAGACTAAGTGAATTTACAGAAACCCCACAGAGTAGCAAGCAGAAGACACACCTATTCTGTCTGCAGCCAGCTATCCTAGACTGAGGCCAACAGCTTCAGATAGACGAGATCTTTCTCACACAAGCACCGTAACTCACAAGTGTCACCTTGCCAGCCATAGACTTTATTTGTGAACACTCTTCTCCATAAAAATTACGGCACATCTCCACTTGCTGCCCTTCTCTGCAAGCCACTACTTCACTACTTGTTTCTGCACAATTACCCAGACACCGGGAGCATGCTTTGAAGGAAACAGAAATTACATCAGTGCTGGCTAACTCTGTTTATCATCCTAACTGAGGAGCAGTTCAATTGTTCAGGAACCAAAGTGGCCAGCACAACACGCTTCAAAAAACTGGGGGAGAAGAAACTTTTCAGTCAGTTCCTGAAGCCCTGTCTCTACTTAAAGGGCAAAGATGCAGACTGTAATTTTTTTAATCAAGTCAAATAAGTAGGAAGAAAGATCTCTAGCATTCAAAAGCCTCTTTCCATCTGCTAGTTACTAAACAACTTTTGTCATGCTCAAGGTACATGGCAAGATAACATGTTATTCAGAAAATTGCACCAAACATTTTGCTGCTTCTCTGGTTAGAGCAGCATTTTAGAGGCAAACCCATAAATAACAAATGACTATATGTGTGTGTGTATATATATACACACACACAAACACACACATATCGCATCCCAATGCCTACAATAAAACAGACTCGAATCACAAAGCCAACAAGTAAACCAATAACAGAAAGGAAAAATAAATACATTATTTGTTGAAGGAAGCAAAAGCTGTTGTGACTTACACCAGCACTATATAGAACTGTTAGTCTACTGAGACCTTAACCTATTCTGCTCAGTCTAGTTACTAAGAGCTCAAAGATGACCCACTACAAGATTTCTGCAATATCTTATGTGCTATAACTTCCAATTCTCAACTTGTCAGATGCAAATAGAGAACTGGAATATTCACAGTAAAGCTGGCTCAAGAGTATCTTGACTACAGCAGCTTACATAATTTTTATATTGGTTTAATCAAAAGAAGAACTTCAGTCAACATTTGGAAGAGCTCTGAAAATGCTCTGCCGATTATAAATCTGTTATGATTGCTTTTTTGGCAGCCAGATTAGGTTTACTGAGGCATTAACAGGAAGGAAAACAGAAAGGCAGGAGGCAGCAAAATGTACACTCTCATAGACAACGCTGCCAGACCAGGACATAAAGAAGGAAATGATGCTGTAAAAACGATGTGACGTGGAGACTGTTCAGGCCTAGGCGAGACAGCTGTTATGCTGCGACTGCAACAAACCATGCTGAGCACACATTCAGTGTAACCTTGGGCTCTTCCTTCCCATCTGTGGTAACCATCTCATGGCTGCAGGACAGGGGTGGCCTTTGGGATGTGTCCAGCTGGTCAGGTCAGTCAGTCCTACTGTAACACAAATCCAAGATACCTCCTAGCAAGTGACAGATCCTGGGATCTTCGTTATAGCCACTGATCACGAAACAGAATGGGAAGCTGATTTTTTTTTTTTTTTAACTGCACTATTATTCTTCACAGGCCACTGAAGGTAAACTTCATCTACTGGCTTGCAGTTGTAAGGTTTAGTACAGAGATGCGTTTAAAACTTGAGAAAACATAATGGCTAGATTTTGAAGGCATGTGTTCTTAGAAACATTTTTAATAAAAAAGGAATGCACCTGTACAACTGAAAACTTCCATATATTAGAAATGTTGTGTTGAGTTTGCACTAACTCCAGAAGACCAAAGACAGGGTAGAGAGACAGTCTTCTGACCTTGGCCAGAAGCCCACCATGACCTTTCAGATGTGGTGAACTACCATTCATCAGTCTCATTCCTACAGCTTTCCTCACTTGAACACCAGAAGAATAATCCTTCTCCAGGCTAAATGAAGTAATAAGAGAGGAACTGGGCTAGCTGGAGGGTGAGGGAAGACTCAACACTGGGTAAAGATGGGATGGAAGCTCCTGTTGACAATTGGTTCAATCCTCAAGCTTGAGTCTTAACTTTTTTGCAGGCTGGCAGTGTTGTTTCTTCCTCCTCAACCTTGCGAGGCTTCTTCACCGTGTACACTACCCCACAGGCACTCTTCCGAGTTTCTGGAATATACAAGCAGAAACCACAGTACCTCAAATAAAATGACACTAATGCATTTAATGCATACTCATTTCAGGTGTCCATACCCCAAAGGACAGTTTAACATGTTTAACAGCCAGCCAGTCAGCATACACAGCAGGTAAGCAACGTGCATGGGCAGGAGCTAGGGATACACTGCATTATGGAGTGGGGAAACTAAAGGGGGATATCCGATGGTGGGTGTAGAATTACAGCAAACATAAGTGAAAACTGAGGTCTGCAGGGGTCGAGAGGCTGCAGACACACAAAACCATAAGAAACCAGGCTTAATCAGTTCAATAGTCACAGAAGGACACATTCTTGAAGCATTGTCAAAAGCATTTCTGAGCAAAACATACTGTTCTTAAAAAAAAGCTAAATAAGAAAATGTATTCTTAAACAGACTAATGCTGGCAGAGCTATATTGGCAGAGGCTCCCCTATACATACCAAGTAAGTATGTATATGGTATTCAAGAATATTATATTTGCAGAACCCTCCGCATTACCATAAAATACTACCGTGCGATGCTATCAAACTCCTCACATGTTTGCCAAACCACCTAGTGAGCCAAATCCAATTTCATAACTACTGGTGAGAGGCTTCTCTGCAAAATTTGAGGTAGAAGAGATTCCCTACAAATACTCTGTTAGCAAAGAGGCTCTGCAAGAACCTTGCCAAGATATATTGACTTATTTTGTGCCATTATTCTTTGGAAGACAGGGAAACGACATCTGCTATTTAATTTCACAGATGACATAGATGACGGTCTTGAGAAATTTCACATAATCTTGACCAAATTCCTTCCAACACACTGTCTCTATGTAAATAGAGTAGCAGGCCAGAGGAGGACCCTGTTCACAGAAATACCCTCACCAAAAGATCAAAGCTACCTGCTGTGAATTACAGCAGGTTGAAGCCCCACCACTACTGAAGCAAGAGATGCAAACCAAATCCCACTGTGTGTTTGAAACTTAGAGCAACTCAAGTTGTTGGGAAGGTGACTAGAAATTATACCTACCCAACAAATCTTGACAGAGGCAGGAATTACGAGCTAGATGCAGCTACTCAGTCATAAAGTTAAACCGCCATCACAAAAACCCAACAAAAATCAAGAAACACTAAAAACTAATAAATAAGCATGTGAAAGGGAGGGTAGAGATGGAGAAACTGGTGCTACAGTGGAAAGCAAGGGTCTAAATTGATTACTGGAATGCAAACTGTGGCATCTCTTTGCTGCACTGACACCAAGACACAAAATACAACTGGAAAACTTTTGATTTCCAGTGCAGGGGGCCACAAGCTAAATTTCTACTTTCTTAATATTAAAAATGGGCAAGTAGAAGAGAGCTACTGTGAGCTGCCTCTGCTGAGAGCATAAAGAAGCAAGTTTTATTTCAGCAAAACACTTCAAGCCAGCATACACTATATGAAACCTTCTTTTTTTGGTCTAAGCAGCAGGCACTCAGGGTATTTGACCTTGCATCAAGTTTGAAATGGCCCACGCTGAACAGCAAGTCAGAAATAGACCATATAATGAAGCATCAGGAAGGGACATGGCAAAGGTTGCTTCCGCACTCATCTGCAAGAGGGTAAACGCAAACACACACATCCCTATTTTCTTGAAGTCAGCGATGAGTTTCTGCTGGCGTCACCAAGATCAGCATTCAACCCTTTCTGAACCATGGGATAGTTTCACTACGAAGCACAACAGGCAGATCTGCGTTTTGGCTACACAGTTTATGACTTGTTAATATGGTTAAGTGAGTACTCCAGTACATACAGCATTCACAGTTCAGCTACTGATTTGCTAACATGGCAACAAGGGAAAACAAAACACCCTTGCCACACAAGCTCCTCTTCATGCATTGGACAAGGGAGCTAAAACCTCAGGCTGACTTGCTCTATATAATGTCTTGGACCTTTTGGAAAATATGCATTAACATGAACTTAGTTTAACAAATGCACGTGTTACTTAGACAAGCTTGCAAGTGCTTTCCACTTACCTCCATGAAGCATGGTGGCTCTGCAGTTGGTAGACACAGCTGCTTTGGCTTCGCTTTCTGACAGGCCAAAGAGCAAACCTCTGTCACCTTTGTTCAGGACCAAAACGCACAGAAAGGAACAAACAAGAGTAGGGAAGTATGTCTGCATGATAGGTTTGCTTACTCTACAAATAACTGGGAATTAGCAAAGCTGTAACTCAAAGCGACATTTTGCATAAGGTTACCCAGAGACAGGGAACTGAGGCACCCAATTCTCCTGGCTGCAGTTCTCCAGCAGCACTCCTGGAAAGCTCCTGGCAATATTGCTTTTTTCCAGACCAGAAGCTGTACTTTTGAAAATAAAAGGCTGTCATCATCAGAACATTTTCGTACACGTAATAAAGCAAAAAACTTACCCCGTCGAAAATTTCAGTTTTGGGGAAAGGGCACTGTCTGATACAAAAGCATTATACTGAAAAGTTCTCAGCCACCTTCAGCAGGGATGACACCTGATTAGGTATGTCAGTTTGGGTTGAGCCTTACTGCTCTTTGTGAGAGGGAAGGAAGCATTGCACATAAAATCCTTCCAGGCCACACACCCTCCCACACGGTTCTCATGACTCAGAGCACACTCCTCCCCTTCAAGGGACAGTCCAGATCCTCGCTTGTGGGGTGGGGGGGTGGAGGGGAGTAGTAAAAATGCATCTGAACTCCTAAAAGGAGGGGAGGAAAGACACTCTCCTTGGTTTCTAGAACACAACCACTTATTTAACAGAACATATGTAATTAAGGAGTGGAAGATCAAAACAGAATTAACTAGTACTCAGGAACTTAAGATGATTTTATAGTTTCTTCTACCAAAAATGTGGCACCTTGGAGATCCTAAGTAGTAATTTCTGGTTTGGCTCACAGTGTCAGTAGATTTTTATGGGTTTTATTCATTTCCTCACTTACACTGAGACATCAACGCACATTACAACAAAACATATCTGGAGCTGAACACAGACATGTAGACATTACTGTTTACAGTGACTACTCACGCCACCCTATGACCAAGATCTGTTGCTTCTTCCACACCCACTCAGAGCCCTGATTCATTGAATTGCTCATGAACAAGCATCACTGTGTAAAGTTCAAGAAGGGTAAAGGATGGAAGTATTTCAAAACCACTTTGAACTTTCACACGTTACTATGAACAGCCGTCTTTTGACTTCGAAAAAGGATACAGATTAGCCACGTCGTAAGGACCTCGTAGTTCTAGAGGCTAAAACAAAACAAAGAAGGCTGGATGGATGCATGCATAAACTCTCTTGCAGGCTGACAGAGTGTGAGCAGGCAGGACAGGCCTAACAGGAAGGCAAGATTAAACACTACATAATAGCAAGCTGCTGCAGATGGACTAGGAAATCAAGCAAATACTATTATTTTGGAAAACAAGAGTCCCCACCTGGGAGAAAACTGTCATGGGAAATACCACAGCAGCAAAAAAACCCCCACCTAACCAAATGAAAAAAAAAACCCAAACAAAGCCCACAATACAATTCTTTGACAAAATAGATTGATCAAAAAATCCCGTAAGATGGCAATCACATTTAAAAATCACAAATTTTTTATGTTTAAGATATAATTAAAGCTGTATTTTCAGCCACAGATAAATCCTCAAATTGTTCTGACTTCAAAAAAAAAAAAATCTGGGACTTACCCTTTCAGCTGCACTAGATATAACAATGTTCTGGAAAACAAAAAAGAACAAACATTCATCTGTCAGACAGCATCAAGAAATGAAAAAAAAAAAAACCACCAAAAAAACAAGCAGCAAAGACTTTATGAGCATTAGCTAAGTTCAGGCTCAGAGCCCAATTAAACATCAGAGTATCTGATGCCCTCAGATGAAGTGAACTCTACAGGGTGTGGATCTTAATTTGAGGACATGAATAAACCCAGGTTATCTCCTTGTCCCCTACAGAGAGAGAGGCACAGGGACAAGTCCTCCCTTGCACTTACAAACCTCTCACACAGATGTAAGTTGAATAAGCATCGCACCTTTTAGTGGGATATTAGTGGGATAGGCTAAACAGTGTAAATGTCAGAGTGATAGCAGTAACCAAGCACCTATCAGCCTGTTTCTCTCACAGTGAACTTTAAAGGGACCTTACGGGTAAAGAAAAAATGCAGAGTTGCACACATTGTTAATAAGTGCCCCCTTTATTTACACTAGCTAAAAGAGACCCCACACAAACAACTTGGTCTGAGCTGTAACAGAAACGCATTTAGGAGTCCAGGATCTCCCAGCAGCAGCTTACATATACTGCCTCTAGACAGTTTGGTGCTTCCAAATTTTCAGCCTACTCTTTGTGTTGTGGTACAACTCAATCCTAACCTTAGCATTCACAATGGCCTTAATCAAACCAACACTTGTTCAAGTAACCTGCCTGCAGCTAGGCAGTGGCTGCCAATTCATGCCATACACTCACATCCCTCAACACTGTCACTCCCATGAAAAACCACCAGGCTGAGAGACATCCTTCTCCCTTCTCTCCCAAAGGGTTTCTGCAGAATAGGTACGTGACTGCTCAGGGACCGGCAGATATCACAGCTCAGCTGCCAGTGCTCTTCTGATATTAAACCTCCAAGGATGCTCACCCAGGGGGAGACTGTTTTGCACAGGTGGTAACTGCAGCAGCAAAAAATTCCTTGCATCTTTTATTACACTGAACAAAAGGCTTTGGGAATTCCTGCTTTGAGTGGGTGGGAATGAGAACTGTACTGAGGCAGTGAAAGACTTTCCCTCTCTGACGTCAGTACCACCAACACATCACACCACCTCCGGTTACAAGGTGTGGCTTTTGATCCCCTCCCCACACTGCTTTGCTTGTCCTGCCACCTCCTCAGCACAAAGAGCAGGGCAGACACTGGAAGAAAATGCTCTGTGCACAGCTAGAGCTCAACATGTAAAAGAACTATTTGCATGGAAACGACTGCATGCTCATACTATGCCCAAGGTTTCCTTGAGTCCTGAGGAGGAAAGAATGGGACAGCCAACTCTGCCTTAGTATAAGGAAAGCCAGAAGCAGAAGCAATACATACATCAAAGGGACTTAACAGTATACATCATGATGGAGGCTAGGACATTTCTTTCTGCATAGTTCACCTTTAAAATGACTGCACTATGGATTCCAAGGGTTCTTTTGAGCTTCAGTGTACTGCCTGCAGGAGTTTGCTGGGAAAATTCAAGTCTCCTGCTCTGAGCTGTAGCAACCAACGCCTGTCTCCCAGGCTCAGAGAAGCTCCCAGAGGAGCTATGTCAGCCATCTTGAACCACCACAGGTTCATGGTTCACTGCTGTGCATTGGAGACATGCTCTGTCTGGTTCAAAGGCAACTGGCTTCCAGTTAGGGGATGGGTAAGACGGGAGAAGGAGACAAGAGAAAACAAGAAAAGCACTGCTAGTGAGAGGAGGAGAGGCAGGCAAAGACAAATCCAAGGGAAGGGAAGAACTCAAAGACAAAACATTATCTCCCAGGTAAAGAAGACAGCAGCTGTTCAGTACACTGCTCCAGGCACAGTACCCATGCTCGGTTACAAAAACACAAGAGGTGAGGGACTGTGGCTATGCACACCTTCTGTCTGGCAAGCAGGCGAGCCCTTCTCTCATTCCCTGCACATTTGAACATGTTTTAAGGGCTCCACTCAACACCAGCTCTGAGGATGAGTAAATTTCTGGAAGCTTCTCTGCTCTACTACAACAGAGGAGGAACAAAAAGATCCAAAAGCTGCTATAAGCTCAGCATCTAGAGGTTACAGAAGGCAAGCTGCATGCCAGCTGCCAAGGGAAGCAGCCTATGGACCAGCCATCCCATGTCTTGTTAAAAAAAGGCCTTTACATAATTAACAGAGACAAACTGCCAGTGAGGGCTAATAACCATCTCTGCTGCACCACCAGGTACTGAGCCTGGAGGCAAAAAACAAAGACAAGCTAGCAGTCCTCTCCCAGCTCTTCCAGTGCCTAACAACAGCTTGTCATGCCCAGCTCCAGCTGATTTACCTTCCAGGCACAAAGGATGCACTAGACTGACAGATGTAGAAAGAAAGGGCACAGACCAAGTGCCCAAACGTCTCACTTGCTCTGTTTGTCATACCAGCTTAACTGGTGCTCTCAAAATCAACAACCGCATCAGAAGCGCATCTTTAACTGCACAGAGGAAAGAGGAGCACTGGCAAAAATGAATCCCAAAGGAAAAGGGGGTTTGTGTGTAGGTACCTCATCTCCAAGTCAGTATTTTGTGCAATTAACTCCTAGAGCTGAGCATCTTGGGAAAGGCCATGCAAATACTCACTTTCTTCTGTAGCACCAAGGGCATCAATCTGTTTGACCCACTCTGCTGCCCTATAGAACAGGCTGCCATGCCCGAGGGGAACTGAGGTAATGACAGATCTGCCTTCCAAGCTGTAACTGGCCTTCCAAGCTGTATATCCCACTTCAGACTAGATTTGCAGGTTAATGCAAATTTTGGCTTCTCTGGACTAGCTAAGTGTGGCAAAGGCCGTTTCCAATAAAAGTGGTGGGAGCTACAATCTCTTTTAACTTGGATATGTATTATCGTATGCTTCCCTGTGAAAAAAAACACACATGGCCTGAGAGGACCCAGCATGACAGGCAGCTTAGCCTGGTAGGCTGGGAGGAGGTAAGGTATGAAAACAATGGATTAGAGGCATCTCAGCTGCAAGCATTACTTCTTCCTTGGGTTTCAGTAGCACGGAAGAATGCAGTTGATCTGACTGCAGCAAAGCCCTGGCTGACGGCCAGCTAGCTGTTGGATCTGTTTTGTACACTGGGAATTTACTAACCATTTAACAAAAACCAAGATTTCTACTTCTTTGTTATTATATTCTACTCCCATATTCAAGGTATACTATCAAAAAAGAGCTTTTGGTCAGAGATACGAAACTGAGGATTTTAAAGATGTGCACGGATTTAAGTTCTAGTGCAAACCTCAGATCTCTGGCACTTTTTTTCCCCCTTTTGTTTTGGGTATTGCATACCATATTAACAGGCAGGTTGTTCTGAAAAAAATAATCTAACAGTTTGACAATTTAAGAAGAAAGCATGCAGTGGTGCATGTCTGGAAGTATCTGGAGCTAGAATAAATGTGTCCTTGTATCAGTAGGCAAAGATTCAGTTATAGCTTCAGAAACCTCAGCAAACTCATTTAAAATGGCTCAGTCTGTACAACTCCAGAAGAATTTGAACTGAATTAATTAGCTTGCTTTCATTTTGAGAGCTTACCTTTCCTTTGCAGATCTGCATCAGGCTTATCGCATTTGAAATTGTGTATCTTCTCATTGTGGAGTCTTTGATGGCAGGCGTGTAAAGAAGTTCAAAGTAAATGCCTCTATCTATTGCCTTCACATGAAAGAGTGGTCAAAAATCAAAAGGAGATAAACATAACAATCTAACAACTGCTGTCTATTATTGATGTAGCTTATTCTCAGTCTAACTATGTTATATATGAAAAAATTAAAGTGGAATTGTTCTAGGAAGAGCACAGCACAGCATGAAAGGGGTGGGGTGGGAGGGCTTCACTGTACACCAGATAGGTGTACTTCAATCTTGGGATGACAGATAAATGAGGTTTAACAGAAATACCAGCCACTTATTAGTTGTAATTGGCTTTCCACTACCACAGAGTTGAGGAGACAGGTAACCACTGCTGGGCAGAAACAAGTCTTGAAATTTTAAGGACTCTCCTCCCCTAGCCCCATAGCCTGCTGTAAGAAGACCACTGCTTCCCACAGTACCTGTGTCTTGCAGATGAGGAATTTGTAAATTGCTGCTGTAAAAGCAGCAATGAGGACCCTTCTCTTCTGTTTCACAGCATACTCTGGTATTTGTGAAAATGTTAAATCACATTGAGTCACAGGAGAGGTTCCAAATAGTAATACTGATTATATTTTCAGCTGCTTTAAAATCCTTTGCCATCTGTCAAAGTACCTCACCAAAAGCCTAGTATTCTCGTTTTTGCTAACAGAGAAAGGTTAAGCAACTTGCTATCGGACACAGTGAGTTAGTGATAAAGACACAATTCAAAGCTATGAGGTTTCTTTTGTTCCATGGCCTATACTACATTTGCCTGAAATGTTACTCTATGCTTTATACTCTTATTATCACAAAATGCTGCAATGCTAATACTGTAGGAGAATCCAAGAACTGAATACAGATGGAATTAACACAGCTCCCATCTATGCATGACCTCTGCATGCAAGCACAGCAGAAGCTAGGTACACATCATATGTTTTACACAGAACTAGTTCAACATCTGCAAACAAGAAGAGAAGACTGAATTTAACAAAATCAAAACAGGCGATGGCAATACACCAATTTCCAGTCAAGCAGATCTTTAACCTCATCCCCACCACTTCAGCTGCCTGCCAATCTGCCTGTCTGGCATCACAACAACCAAAACAGACTACCCAGGGTGCACAAAACCAGTCTGATAGACAGATTGCCTTGAAGCTGGGAGCGTGGAAGCTGAGAAGTAGCTTTTAAGGAAACGTGTCCAAACGCAGGGCTTCAAGAGCCACCCAGCTACTCATCTGGGTCAGCTGCTGCAGTTTTAGGCAACTAGGGTACTTTCAAAAAACATTTCACACAAAATTGTTACTGCAAATAGAATGTTGTTCCCAGTGTATAGTAAATTCCAAAGTACACTCTTGTTCTGTTTCAGGATTAATTCTAGTTATTTTTTAATTTTTATTCTAGGTTAAACTTTCTGTAGAAGAGGAGGTAGGACTTCTAGCCAGTTCCAAAGATAAATTTTTATGCACAAAGGACTACATCAGCCCGTGTGGAATGAACCTTAACATATACTCTAAGGTGAACCAGTTTTTTCCTCTGAGTATGTTCAGATTAAGCTTTCTGGCAAACCACCAACAGTAGGCAGAATTGTATTAACAAAATATTTGATCCATGCTGAGAGTCATCTTGTGTCCCACAGCAGATATTTAGCTATTCTACAGTTGGTTCATTTGCCAAGACATTCCTTTGCCTAAGCATGGATTCAATATAGCTGTCCTCCAAATAACTGGCATGACACCTTCTCCCAAATTAACACTGTCACTCACATTCTCCTGTCTTCTAAATCACAGGGATGTTTATCTATTCTGACACAGCTGTACCACTTCTGGTTTCAGAAGTGGCTTAGTCAGCAATCACACCACATCTCACTGCTTAGCATAGTAGTGGCCTTAAGGCTCTGTTTCCATTCCTTAGGAACACCACTTCTGCCTTAAGTGGACGACAGGAAGGAGAAAAAGAAAAAACATACATCACTGTGTATTAAACGCTGCAGTGGAGGCCTTGAAGTGAAGGACATCTGAAACAACACTATACATTGTGCAAGAAAATAAAAGAACCACTTGAATGGGAATGGTGGGAGGGAAATGGTAGGAAACTCAACTCAGACTGACATTAAATACAGAATTTAACAGCAAGAAAGCAATTTAAATGTAAATTTACCATGTTCACAGGGGGCCTTCGGAAGTAGAATGGCAGCTTCTCCGTTACATTTATGCATACCAGATCCACATCTAGAGTTGTGCAAGCGATCTACAGCGAATAAATAGGAACAGATTATTAGATATGCCAAAAAATACATAACCAATTTTAGGTGCACTAATACTCTCCTTCATTTCTTAATGCAACTGCTGTCTCTCCAGGGTGAGTTCAGTTTTAAAATAAAGAGGTATTATGCATTGCAGGGTAAGTCAATAAAACAGCAGGGCTACAGATGCACAGCTTGAGAATTTCAAGCTTAAAAACCAAGCCTTCTCTCCAACAGAACTATTTTTCCAATAAAATAATGACAAATCCAAAGGCAAGACTTATTGCTTTGTTTTTAACTGACATAGGACATGAAGAAGCAATGCTGGCTTTTGGCGAAAGAACTCACAGCTAATGAAGGATAACCCTTGTTTATAAAGGGAAAAGCCCCAGAAATGCCCCCTTACTCCGTCACTAATTCCAGTGTAGTAACTGTTTGTTTTCAGGATTAATTATTTTTACCAGAAGCAACCAAGAAAGCACTGAAAACAAAGCAGAATGTTAGACAGTGACTGGTAGTGCCGCATGCCCAGTACTGAAGGCTGATCCACAGAGCCTCACTTTCCTGGCTGGGTGGGGAACGTGCAGCCCTTCCTGAAAGCCGTATCCCTGGAGGAGTTTGAAGATGGTACTGAAAGTTATAGTGTAAAAGCTTAGCTTTGAACTCACAACACAATTTACAGCCTGTATTAAAAGATGGAATGCATGAACAAAGGGCAGAGAATCTCCACACTGACATACAGAGAAAATAAAGTGCACATAAAAGGGAGCCCTTGATTTACATATAATCTCATGCACACAAGATATGTAGGAATTATATATGCCTACCCTGTAAAGATGATTACACAGGGCCAGATTAATGCCTGTAAGCAGCATTGTAACAAAGAACATAAAATAGACTGAAAAAGTTGAAAAGGAATTTTCTACACATAGGGTAACTCTCTGCATTCAGAAACCTGCCAGCAACTGCTCCAAATACACCTGGGCCAGATGCCAACCATTCATCCCTCCTCCTACCAGCACAAAAGCAGTGGGGGTTGCGGGGAGTCCCAGGGCTGGGTTGCTCTAACGCTGGGCGGGTTATTGCTTTGCAAACTAGTCTTCTACCAGTTAGTTCACATGAAATTTGGATGGAGATGAGAGCACTGGCCCAGCTTTAGGAATGTTTCTTAGCTGTTGATAGCACTGCCTCCCAGACAGGAGGGTCACAGCACACATGCAAGCAATTCAAAGATCCAGCAAACCACAAGGTTTTTGATGTTAAAATGTCTCTACCTTTCAGACTAAACTTTACCTTCATGCTCTACCTCTACCAAGTCTGTCAGGCAGGACACAGCTGAAATCTATTGCCTTGAACTAGACTTGCATGGATAAGTTTAGCTCTACCACAGCCAGTTTTACTCCTTTTCTTAAGTGGAGTACAAACTACTATCTAGACAGAGGTGATTTATGGGAACATGCACAAAGCAAATAGCTCTGAATCATGTCCTAGAAAAGATCTCAGCGAGGCCATAGGAAATTCAGGAAGAGAGAAAGCTGAAAAGGAAGGAAACAAGAACACACATCAGAAACATGCAAGTTGCCCCATGTGATAAGAAAACAAGTCTTCCTAATCAGCTCCAGAAACACTGGAAAACTCTTCTCCATTCTGCAAATTAAGTGCAATGGGAAAGGGAGTGACCCAAATGCCAGGATATCTACAGGATACCAGTGACAAGAAAATTTCAGAAAACACTACCAAGGAAAAACAAAATTAAGAGTCATACTTTGCCATAAGGAGGAATTCCTGCACTGCATGGGAAGTTGGAGAGGAGATTTCTGCAAACACTCCAATGTTCAGCCTAGCTTTGGCTCCTGGACAAGTCACATACGCAGGCAAGTTAAAGTTACCCTGCCTGCTGAAAGGATCTGAAGTTCAAAAACTTCATACAGAAAATGATATGCAGCAGTTGCACAGCCCAGCGTCTGCCTAGCCACACCGCAGGCAAGAGCTCCATCTGCTGGGAAACTCCAGACAGCCATAAATAAATAAATTTGCACTGCTTGGATGGCCTGAAGAACGCTTTGGCAAATACTTTAGGAATAAGCACTGAAGATTGGCTTTGCACTACATCCTCAGACTTATATAAGCAAGATTTTTTAGATACTGGTGATCTGCTAACTGCTTACAAACAGCAGGCAGAACTAACTACTACCATTAAAACAGCCAGAAACTTAAAAAGCAAAATTTTTGAAAAACAGGCAC